TGCTGACTCTGTAAACCGCTTAGAGAAGGCTGAAAGCCCTATAAAGCGGTATATAAGTCTAACTGCTATTGCTATTTTAGCCTTTTGTACATTTGTTAACTTTTCTTTTGCTTACAACTCATACATACTTACATGTTTTTCTGTAAAATTACTATTTTTTTTTTAAGTCAGATGAGCCTCGGAAAAATATTGCACAGCAAAATCATAATGTGATACTGGTTTCTTTCTTAACAGGACAAGCTGCTCTTTATTTATTTGGTAGTGATGCACGCCAGATATTTGAAATAAAAGCTTTTCATGAAGAATACCGATCATGGTTTATTAGTCAAGAAGTTCAGCACGGTAAGTGGAAAGGCAAGGCTGGAGAATCTGGCTTTCTGGATGCATTGCCGTTGATGAGAGAGGCTGGGAGTTGTAGTTTAATGTAACATTCCCGGAGTTCCGTATACTCTCCACTTCTTGTGCAAGTCCTTGAATCTCAATTGCACTTCTTAAAATATTTTCTCTACCTTGAAGTTATTCATACTACAACTTCTTATTTCTTCCACCCCTTATAGAAGTAGCAATTGGGATGTTCCAACAAATTTGCATTTATTTCATTGAATCATCATGACTTGTATCAAATGTTAAGATGGTCTCTTTGCAGTGATTTGAAGGTATCACTATCCACCTCTGGATCTGGTGTAATCTTTATGTCTGGTAGGGGAGGAAGAAGCCAGGTTTTTTGATGTCCCTTTTCCTCCATGTTTTCGTTTCGGTCGTGTTTTGAGAAAATGTTGAGGTCAGAGAAGGGATTACACTTTACCTTTTTCAGCGATCCATTTTCTCTGGTAGCATCTGGGAGAGAAATATTGACTTTTTCCTTAAATCTCATTTCTCTTGAGGTTAGGATAGTCAGAAGATAGAATTATGGCCTTATTTGTTACTCTGTATTGGGCAAGTTATTCTACTTAGACTCAGGTCTTGGGTGGGGTGGGGTGAATAAATCAAGTTATTCATCCATGATCTCAATTTTTTAAAACACCAAGTAGAAAATTACTATGACCAAATAGGGCAATTCTGGAGAAATTTTTAGCAGACTATACTTAACCTGAATCACAATATCCAATTTATTTCTTCTCACTTTGAGTCACACGAGATCCAGTTTTGCCCTGCAGGTAAAAAAAAATACTAATATAGCAGTTATTTTAACAAAAATATAGAGGTTTTTATGAAATTTGGGTAGGGTGCTATGGACACTTCAAATTTGATTTAAAAAATGGCTCAGAGCAGGTTTTAGCCATGGCCTGCAACTCTTTAAACCAGCTGCATCTTATCCTGGTTTGCATGATGTCCTTAGAAAAGTAATAAATTTTGAAACTGTATTTGATGTAGCATAGGACATAGTCCTATTATTTTTATTCTCCTTTATGTATCTTGTATATGTGTGGAAACCAACAGATATTTGTAATTTGGATGTACAACATATTTCCTATTTATAATATACTTACCCTTTTAAAAACTTTAAAGTCTAAATTTAAATTGTCAAGAATAGATTGTAGGTCTTTCACTTTGCTGCTGAATCATTGTCCCTAACTTATATGGAAGCAGTCTGGATTGTGGATAGAGTTCCTTTTAGAATAATATTTATTTTTCTACCTTCAGATGGACGTCTATTTTTTGCTACACCAATGGACCCTTTGTTTCTTGTGCTTTTTTACCTCATGAAAGCAGAGAAAGAGGTAGGCAACTAAAATATTTCAGAAAGACAACGTTACATTATGTATCTCTGCCCCCCGCCCCGCAAAATATCCATCATTTCTAAATGTCTCAAGAACCATTTCGGTAATTATATTTAATGCTCTACTTCTTTCTTATGTATTAGAACATTTGGCTCAGCAGTAAGATAACTTATTTTGGGGAAAAAAACCTTCCGTTAAACTTTTTGGGAGCCATGTTTTGTTTTAAAAATTATTTGAATTAATACTTTTATTTTATTTTTTTTAAAAACTGATTGTTCCTCTGCCTCACCCTCAGCAGGGAAAGTTTCAGCCACTGGATCAGGTTTTGGTGGATGAAGAGTTTTCTTCCAGCATACAATTGCTACATTGCACAAGTACTTCACAGTCAATTCACCACATAGCTGAGCAAAAAGGTACCAAACAAGCAAAAATATTATTAATTAATGTAGACCTGCAAACTTTAGCCACTACTTAGGTTAGGCCAGTTGACATAGCCAGCTGTCTTAGGAGCCCCCCACAAACCATCCATGCAGGAGCAAAAGACATGAGATAGAATAAATCTAGTGTCCTGTGTGAATCCAAAGAGATCCCTAAATAAGAAACTACTGAGGTTGCTGACCTAGAGTTTATATCCAGGTTTCTGTCACTTGAAGTGCTACTAGAGAGAGTTCTATTTGAATAGTCCTCCTGGTCGGGTAGAGCCAATACTCTCCTAATTCCCCTAACCCTAATTCATAATTCCATCTCCTATGCTGCGGCGGGGAGGGCTTAAAGGATTCCAGGNCTTTCTTTCTTTCTTTCTTTCTTTCTTTTCCTTCGTTTTTCATCCAGGCCCACGCCAAAAACATTACAATCCCGATATATTTGTGACAGTTCAGGATAGTTGCACTGCAGCCGCAGAGCAGCCGCTCGTACCCTCGGCTTCCCACGCCAGGAAGGCAGCTCCCTGTGGCTGGTTTGCGAGCAGCAGCGAGGATATTTTTCAAACTTGACTCGCAAGCTAAGCGGCGCCCGCGGCTCTAACCCTTAATACCTCTGTGGTTAGTAAGGCAAGAGCGGAGGGAGGCTGCGGCTCTTAACAGGCGCGAGATGCCGGGCGGGAAGGCGAAAGCGCCAGCGGCTCGGGCAGAAAAAAGCGGCGCTGGCAGCAGTCGTCAATGGGTGGTGGTTCTCCCAGGTAACGTTGCCCCAGAGCCAGCCCGATCCTGGAGTGTTAAAAGAAGCGGCTCCCTTCCGTGCACGGGGGAGGGCTAATTGCGGACTGCATTCAAGCGATTGAGCTTTTTATTAGGTTGCCTGGAAGCAGCGCGGTCGGTGGTTGTGTGGATGGTGCTGGGCTTTGGGTTAGCCTTCCCCGTTTGCGATCTCTTCCTTCCTACGGCCCGACAGCGATCCCAGAAGAGGTTGGCTGGTCCAATGTAAAACGAACCTGTCTTCAGAGTTTTAATTCGATTTCTGGGACTTCCCAGAAGAGCAGGGCAAAAAGCAATGGATGGAAACGAATCAAGGAGAGAAGTAACGTGGAACTAAGGAGAAACTTCCTAACAGTGAGCAGCTTTGCCTTCAGAAAGTGTGGGTGCTTCATCACTGGAGGTTTTTAAGAAGAGACAGGATAGTCACTTGTCTGAAATGATATGGCTTTCCTGCCTGAGAAGAGGGGTGGGCTAGAAGACCTCCAAGATCCCTTCCAGCTCTATTCTGATTCTGACTTGATGGGTGCATTTGTATAGGGCATTTGGCTAAAATGCAGGGGAGATCTGCTATTGCTCCCTCATAGTATGTTTTTGTTTTGATTGCCCAGTCCAGGGGTCACCACCCTTTTGGACCTCAGGGACCACTAAATTCATAATTTTAAATCCCATGGACCACTAATATGATTTTTTTTAAAAAAAATAAATAAATAAATAGTATTTATTGCAATGTCAAAAATGCAAATTATTTTTCTGTGGACCATCAAAATTTTCTTGCAAACCACCAGTGGTCCATGGACCACCAGTTGGTGACCGCTGGCCTGGTCGATGCTGTGATCTCCCATCCAGGCCTGATATTGCTTAGTTTAGAACAGTGTTTCTCAAACTTACTAACTTCTAAGGTGTTTGGACTTCAAATTCCAGAATTCCTTAGCTGGTGTGGAGTTGTTTCATCCAATTGTTTGGTGGGATTTCACTGGTGGCGCAGTGGTTAGGGTGCAGTACTGCAGGCCACTTCAGCTGACTGTTATCTGCAGTTCAGTGGTTCAAATCTCACCGGCTCAAGGTTGAC